ATAATACAAATATTTGTATATGTTAATATAGCAAAACAAAGCAGCAATAATAACTGAGCTTTATGGCTACTTTTAAGCGTAATTACTTGCCAACTAAGTAATTTGTTAAATGCCCAAACCATGATATGTAATTAGAATAAAAATATTTGTCTGTATCAATTGAAGTTGATTCAATTAAAATTGAACCAAAGATTTGAATTCCGTTTAGATTTCAGATTGACTGGTTGAAATAACAAAAAAGATAAGGAAGATACGTTTTTCATATTTTTTATTCTATAAAACTTATTGTTTTACTTTTTCTTATTTTTGTTTGTAATTCCAACTAATTATAATTTTCACAAATATTCTTTTACTCACTGTTTAGTGAACTAGTCAGTTTAAGACGTAAACAAAATTCGAATCATTTGATTTAATTTTGGAAAAGTAATTGGTGTGTACTCATTTTTGCATATCATTGTATATGTTAAATAAATGCATAAATTAGCGATCTCTCTGATTTCTTCTGTGATGTATCGCAATTAAAAATATCAATCCAACATCTATTTTATAGGAGCACTTGTACGTTTCGTGTTTGTTGCACCGTTTTTCTCCTTTATTCTAATTTATTTCACTCTCATTTTTATTACTTGATTAATATGCATGAAAGTAGGTAGTAGAGAAAATGGCAGATTCAGCAGTTAAATGAGAATTAATGAGAGAATGGAACAGAGCTATAGGATCTGTTTGAGAATAGAAGTAGAAGACAATTGAACGACTATAGGACGTAGCAACAAAGAACTGCGTGGGACAAAAAAGGCATGAGAAATAGAAAGAAAGTTCCGCGACAGTTATAGATTCCAAACGCTGGTAAAGGTATAGTGCGCGCGTCAATTGATGCAAGCAGTCCTAACGTTTCACTGTCTTATACTAAATGGAAAAAATTGATCCTTTGGCACACTACGGTGAGTATGTTATTTACTTTGCCTTTCCTCGGTTACTGTACCCTTACAATAATTTTACTTGTATTTAAGAACAACATTATTAAAGTACAGATATTAAATTTTGTAATGCATTCCCTTTTTTAATAATACCGTAAATATTGAAACATATCTAATAAATTATGCTAAATAATTTAATATGGAATATTTTAGGTTTTTACATTTTTGTTATCGGATTGTTTACCTAAATCTAATCACAGTAATTAGATCATTGTACAGAATTTCATACACAGTAATTAGATCAGTACACAGAAAATGACACACAATAAATAACTTTTTATCTTTTTAAGGACAGAGTAACTCGCTCAAAAACTGTTTTGTTCATTTTATTAAATATTTTGTGTTCTTTATGTGTTCCGATTCTGAAAAAATTCGTACTTATATAAGAGACATCAACATATAATTTAAATGTTTTAAGAATTGCAATATAGGTAAATAAAATTATTTGATTCGTTGAAAACTTCGGACATCACTTTAATGGGCACAATAATTGACATTCTTTCCCTGTAATACATCTCTTTGCAGACAACATCAAACCTTTTGCAAATTATATTCATCTTTTTGCCATCTATGGTTATCTTTGCAAATTATATTCATCTTCTTCTAAATCAAAAAAATTTATATCTCTTCTGAAATCGAATTTATCCTTTCGTAAATTAAATTTACCTTTTTGTAAATCACCTCAGCTAATCAAATTCACTGCTTAGCAGATCAAGTTCTTCTACTTTGTTTTCTTCAACTATTGTAATAAAAATAAGGTCCAATGTTTTGTTATTCTGAAATTTTTTTATTTTGTTGTATATGTGTATATAAGAATTAACTTAAAATATGTATTTAATGGTAAACATACCTTCATCTGTGCGAACAGTAGCTGCAATAAAATAATGGCATCCACGAAAATATCCTTTTTCCATAGAATTGAATTTTGGAGAAATATTCAATTGGGTCATTGTCGAAGGTGGTAAGAATAGTAAAGCGAGTCTTATCTGACCAACAAGGTCGCAAAAGTATCTACGTGTCTGTACACAGGACAAGTATCAGGGACAAATGTAAGTAAACACCTTTCAAAATGGAATGACTTTTTTCAAATTAGTCCAAGTGATTTGAATTTTGTTTACATGTTAAAGCGACTAATTTTCTTGAAAATGAATAAACAAAAATGCCGTTTATATTTTAATTCGTTGGAATGACAATAAAATTAAAAAATGGTGTTTGTTCAACTTTTTCATCGGAATTTATAACGAAAATTTAGAAATTGTATTATATTTTAGTATAATAAAGTATAGAGCAACTGCAGTCGCAAGAAAGAATATAAATATAATTTCAATTGTAGATTTTAATATCGTGTTCTTTTCCACTGCACTTATGTACACTTATCATAAATATTCTGTTAATTCTTCCGATTTCGGTGTCACAGCAACTGTGGTATTGCATATCAATTTCGGTATTTGATAACATACGATATTTGATACTGCTTTAAAATACTATGAAAATTATAATAAATAAACAAATCGAAAAATTTACCGATAACTACCGGTAAATATATCGGTGTTTTTGTATAACTCTATGACGTCATATTGGCATTTTTGTATTTCGGTTTCTATAAGGTTTTCGAGGATTAACGCTATTTTCACCGACATTTTGTATTATACAATTTAATTTCGAATTAATTTCGTGAAGAAAGTCGAGAAGAGTTTTAAGTGTTTTAAAAATGATTAAAATATGTCTTTTAACTCCTTTGGTAAAAATAGTGTTATACAGAAATTATTAAAAGGTGTCTCTTGACACGTTCGGTAAAAATAGCGAGACTTACGACTCCGCAAAATTTGTGGAAGCAACCGCAAGAAAGCACAAATATTCTGTGTTTCTTCATGTTCCTTTATCTCTACACTTTGCCCTGAAGATCAACTTTGTCGAGTTTGACCGCAGGGATAATTCGATACTCTCAGGGACTCAGATTTTATCAGAATTGATTTATGAAGTTAATACTACCCACGGGATAACTGAGAGGCAGACTATATATATATATATATATATCTTTTTATCTTCAATGGGGTTGGCAATCTTAAATGAGAATCGTCAGGTTAAGGTAAGCGTCCTAATACACGAATACCTATGATAAAACTAAATAAGACGGTATAAAGGAAGGTAGTAAACGTTTTTTTATACAAATCGCTTTGATGTAATGTGTGGAATTGCTTTAATTTGTCTCTTACATAGTACATAAATGGAAGTTAATACGAGGTTTACGAAACAGTAAAAGCAACTTAAAGGGAATCCACAAACTACAGAATCCCTTGAATCGTTTTCTCGAAAATCAATTTTTTAAGAAAAAACTAAGTTTCTTAATTGTAAATTATAATTGTACATACTTTTGTTGTTGATTAACATTATATAACCCTCGTCAACAAATAAGAATGTATCTTTAACAAATGAGCTGATATTTAGCGATCAGTAGACTGTGGATTTTATGAATTTATTGCAAATATTGATAAGAGAAATACAGAATAATGAAAACAATGGAAGAATTTAAGAGTATTACATTATTTTCTATTGATAAAAATTATTAAATGAAAAGATACGTTATTTAATTCTTGTTTTATACAATTATTCAACAAAATTTTCACTTTGCATAAAGATCCGCAGTCTAGTAATTTGGTTTTAAGGGACATTTAATTGTACCTAATCCTCTATTGATTATTTCGGAAATTAATGTTTTCATTTATATAGTTTGCTTATCGATCGATGACGTCACTGAACAATCAATTAACAATAGAAGAAGAATTTCTCGGTTTTTGTTCACAGCAGGCCGACCTGCGCAGCATTTTTATCCAATTTGATGAGTCAACACGTATGTATATTTACTTTTCGCCATGGAGAATTGAAACAATTGAATGACGTCTGCTAATGCAGATGTCCTTACACATACTTACATTCTGTTATATCAGAAGCTTGAGCAAACACCTTATACATACTTCATTCCAGTTGGGTTACGCATGCTCAACGTCGTTAAAGGTCTCAGTATCAACTTATTTTTTGGTCTTCTTTATGTTTATTCAAAATGAGCTCGCCGATACGTCACATTATTACAGAATTTTAATGAAGCGTTATTCCTTTTAGAACTTTTCTAACGCTCGAAAAAGCAAGAAAAATACGAAAATGTTGTAGAAAATATAAATAACGTGCATGAAGTTATGTGTATATTATTATTAAATTATGGATCTTTATGCAAATTCGAATTTTCTAAAGCTATTTTATAAAAATCAAATTCCACAATAATGTTTTCGTTCGTTATAGATAGAACATAAATTACATGTTTTTATGTAATTTACAAATTTGCATATAAACGCATAAAGATTCGCGATCTAATTATTATACATACACTGCGAATTTTTACGTAAATTCTCTTTTTTATATGTGATTCTACAAAAATTAGAATCAAAGAAAAGTTTCCTTCGTCATCTAGAAGATTACTCATTGTAAAAAGAAAATAAATATTTAATCAGACCTTGTTAGTTTACACGTGTTTATATAATTTACCCATTCGCACATGCCATGAATGCATAATGAACCGCGGTATATTTATAATAATTAGACAGCTGATCCTTGTGCAAACACTTATTTTCATACGTAATCTTACAAAAATTGGAATTAAAGAAAAGTTTCCTTCAACGCCCAAAAGATTAATCATTATAAAACAAATAAGAATGCAATTAGACCTTAGTAATTTGCACGTTTTTATATAATTTACAAATTTGCGCGCACTATAAATGCATGGAGATTCGCAGTCTAATTATAAAGCTTAAATATTTTAGTGTCGTTTTGACGCAAGCTGTACTCGATGATCAGAAGTTACAGCCCTTGATAGATTTCGTAACATACATACTTTGACCCTCTCTCCCCTTGACCTGGAAACCCGGTAAAAAAGATTTTGCGTAGAATCGATGCAATGCAGTGGTATAAATATTACTTTGTAATGTGAGAGAAGTATTTTTATTGCATAATGTAAAGAAGTGTACTATTACATTATGCAATATGCATTTATGATGAAATGAAACTCGGAAGAAATCGGATTTCCTTTTGTCAGCTATGTTGCTCTGTATCGAGACCAGTTTAATGAAACCTTATAATGTGCTTCAGTTTCATAAACTACCTCGCGCACTTGAATGAATTAATTGAACGTAAAGTTGGAAGAAATTGCGTCTGTAGATGCTAGAATTAGAGAAGAGGGAAAATGAGGTTGCAGTATCCAATTATATATACTGTTTAATCTCCTCTACGGCTGTTCCCGCTGTACACTGTGAAATATCGCCACTTTGTAATTAAGTTCTTTTTTGATTTATTGAAATTGCACGTGTTCGTGCAAACATATCACTGCTTGCTTGTACGCGTGGCATTTTTTCCTGTTACTTTTAGAGGAATTGCTTCGCGTCGTCGCAATTAATTAAATCAATGTTTCACGGAATTAATACCGATTGCTGGTAAACTTGTGCAGATTGACGTTACTTGCACGTTTAAAAATTCGAAATGATTCGCGGTAAACTAACAATATCTGCTGTTTATAATTACATAAATAGAAGGTGGCGATTATTCCTCCTATATTTTATAATACGTTTTGACGCAAGTATGAGTTTATAAAATATGTAAATTAAAATCTTTTTTAAATGAAACATTCCTAGCTTTCTTATGTCATTCATTATTGCATATGTATTGAATAACTATGAAAGTTGTATAATAAAATTGTACAAAATTAAATAATAATGATGTCAGACTTATATTGTAAGCGACTGGTAATTATGGTTAAAATTGATGTGAATTATATGATTATGATTGAAACCTTTGATATGAATTATAACGAAAATACATCAGAGTTTGTAGTCATTTTGATGATCAGTAGCAGCAAGTTCAGGTTGCATGTAATTTATGGTTCAATATGTTTTACTGAACAATTGCAATCAACAGTATAAATCAGAAACTTTGATGGAAGTAGTCTGGTCGACAACTTCTATGCCAAGAATTCCGGTCGTAAATTTGTACATATACATTATGGGCTCGTTTGGATAACATTCGAATTCTGCTTTAATTATAGCACTTTCAAATTTTAAAAGATTGACGATCCCATTTATACAATCCTGCTAAAA